AATACTCTATGCCATACAGAGTGTCTTGAGAACATAGTGGATAGATGATGTTGTTGGGCTCTGCTACCTCTTCAGTAACCCACCAAGATGGTTACCCCCAAGGGACTCACGTCTCCCTGTAGAACACAGTGGGATCTATGGTGAAGTAGGCCTGAGGGCAAGTTGCTTGGAACTAGTCCTTATAACAAAGGACTCTGTAGAAACAAGTCTCTGGGCAGGGCAGAGAAACATCCCTGTTTTTTTTCTGAGATTTTTGCTCTTGTCTTGCTGTTTCTCCTCTGGGCACCAACATCATGGAGCTAAAAGGCAGACCAAGTAGCAATGGAGTATGATGAGGAAGAAACAGAAAGAAAGAGATAATGTTCCTTTCCCCACTGCAAATTCCTGAGCTGCATGCTGGCTTGTTGAGAAGGGCAAATAAGTTGTGAGATTAAAGTTTTGATTTAGAATAGATAAGGCTTTCTTATTTATTTATTCCTTTATTTGTGGAATTCAGGCAATTATAAGAAAGCTTACAGCTGTTAAAAATTTTAAAGTTTTACATTTATGCAGCACAGTATGCAGATATTAAGTCAGTATTTCTATGCAGTATCCCCAGGGAACTCATCAGTGTAACTGCCACCAGGTCAGACAAGGAGGTAAGGAAATACTGCATTTCAGGACACAGAAGATCCTCACTATATTCCTTCTCTTCAAGCTGAAGGAAGCCAACTTCCTGACATCTTGCACAAGGACAAGTGTTTCATCTACATAAATGAAATAATGCTATATATTTATTGCATCTTTTTAAACTTTACTCATTAGAACGGTTGTGAAACTCATCCATGTTTTTTCTTATAGTAACACTTTGTTCATTTTCTTTGCTCTATGGTAGTCCACCGTGTAAAGACCCCACACTTAATTTATTCATTCTGTAACAGGGTGAGCCCCAGGAAAAGGGGAAGTTCCAGGTTCCCTGCCCGACCCAAAGGAGGGTGGAGCTAAAGAGAAGAGAAGAAGCTGAAGAAGAGACTGAGGAAGGAAGGAAGTAGGATGGAGAGCAAGAAGAAGACCTGGAGGAGGCACAGGGAGCAGAGAGACATGTGAAAAAACTGCACTTGTGGGGAGGTGACAATGGCAACTTTTATCTTGATTTTGATTTTGCTCTTTTCCTACCAGGCTTGTCTGGTTGTTTCTGATCCTTTTCTGTGGGTCCCCAATGAAAGGTGCTTTAGACTTGTGGCAGACTTTTGGGCCTTGCTCGGGGCCAATCCTGTTTGGGTGGACTTTTACCCACGAGGGGATGGGTAACTTTGGGTGCTTGATTTAGAAACTCTATTCTTTGTCTTTTCTGTATTGTTTATTAATTGTATTAAAGTTTCTTTCCATTAAAGTCTTATATGTTTTGTGTTGATGTGGCAGATGGCAGAACCTATTTAGAGCAGGCAGGTTTGGGGGCTCTGGGGTGCCCCTCTCCCTGCCCTATAACAATTCCACTCTTTATTGCCTGGGGTTTGTTTCCAGTTTGAAGGTTATTACAAATAATACTGCTGGGAATATCCCTGTATATATCTTTTAGTATACATGTATATACTACATATTTTTAGATAAATATACTTAATAATGGAATTATGTATTATAAATTACATTGTACATTCAACTGTAGAGTAGACTATATTGCCAAGTGGTTTCCTAAGGTACTTGTCCAAGTTATACTCCCTCAAGCAGTGTATGGGAGTTTTAGTTGCTTCATACCTCCACCAATGTCTCACATTTTTTATCTTCATCATTTTAGTTATTCTGAGTATGCAGTGGTAGTCCAATGTGTATCTGATGGCTTTCCTGATGGCTTATAAAGATAAACACATTTTCATAAGTTTTATCATTTAGATGCCCTCTTGTGTGGAAACTCTGTTATGCTTTATTGGATTCCTTGTGTAGCTCACATTTGTTTGCATAAATACTGTATATATTATTAGTAAAAACCTTTTTGCTGTGATATGAATACAAATACTTTCTCTGAATTCTATGTCTGCCTTTTCCCTTTTAATAGTGTCTTTGGAGGAATAGAAGTCTGGATTTCTAATTCTTCAGTAAAGTACTTTATACAATTTCTTTCTATATAAATACCATTTGGGGAGAGTTCTGTTTAAATTATCATTTAATTTTCCAAATTTATTCTAGGAGCTTTTTTTCCCTCCTTCACATGTAGATCTACAATCTATGTTAATTTCTTTATGCAATGTGAAGTGGGAACTATCTATTTTGTCTCTGAGTTTTTTCATAACTAAACTTGAGTTTAGGTTTTAGAAATAACACCGTGAGTACAGATGAAGTGGTGGCGAAGCTATGGGCTCTTGCAAAGGTATTCTCAGGGTAAGGGGAGGAAGAGCCAACAGAGCACCTATGAAAATCATGGCTTGAGAAAAATAAAGCCATTTTGTTCAAAACTTCACAATATTCAATTCACTAAGTAAGTACAATATTTTTAAAAGGGAAAAATATGAGGAAACTATGACCACACTAAAACATATTTACTTTATGAAACCTGTGAGATCTGGAGATAGATCTGCTCTTGATGTTAATCAAAGAAAATAGGTTCCAGTGACAGCTAGAAAGGATGAGGTTCGAGCTGAGGCTACAAACCCTGAACTCATAGTGCTATAGTTAGCAGTGGTCAATGATTTTCTGTAACCGCTCAGAAATGTGGTGATGAACTGCCATGTGATTTCCTGGTTGAAGCCTATGTTTGGCTGCAAGATAGCAGTTAACTTGAGCTCTCAATTATTAAGTTGAAGTACATTATATATAAAGGAGAAGCTTTGCTCTTGCTATGCAAACAAGAATTTCACACACGTATAGCATTTGAAATAACCATTTCAAAACTTTGCTAAGATAAAACTACACTCTATGTCATCATAGGGTGACTTCACATCTACACTCGTAAATATGAAATGATTCCTGAGTATTTGAAGATTGTTTTCTGGCCACCTCTCTCCTTCTTATTTTCACCTATAATCTGGTCATTTTAGAGATAGCTGTCTGCTAACTCTTTGTAACAGGATGGTCCCAGGGAAAGGGGAGGTTCCAGGTTTCCTAGCCCACCCAAAGAAAGGAGAAGCTGAGCAGGAAGGAGGGGAAAAGCTGGAAAAGATACCAGAGAAGATGGGAAAAGGATGGAGATCCAGAAGAAGACTTGGAGGAGGCACATGGAGCACAGACATGTAAGAAGCTGCACTTGCTTCTTGGTCTTGGACTGGTTGAAACAGATGTGGGTGAGAGACCCACAGGAAGGTTAACAATGGCAGCTTTTATTTTGATTTTGTTTCTTCTGTCTCAGATGTGCTAGGCCCTGCCCCTTTTGCCCCTTTCCTATGGTTCCTCACCAGGATGTGTCTTAGACTCATAGCAGGCTTTCAGGCCTCAGTGGCCCTATTTTGGGCCAACCCTGCTTGGCTGGGCATTTACCCACAAGGGGATGGGGAACTTTGGGTGCTTGGTTTGTGAACTATATTCTTTGTCTTTTCTTTGTTGCACACTAATTGTTTTAAATTTCCTTTCCATTAAAAGTTTTTTGCACTAGAGTTTATTTGTCTTGATGTGGTAGATGGCGGAACCCATTTAGAACAGACAGATTTGGGGGTTCTGGGGTGCCCATCACACTGCCCTGTAACATCTTTACTTTCTAGACTACCCTTATTTACTCAAGTCCATAAACAAATCTTATTTAATAGCTTCTCTCTCTCTCTTTCTCTCTCACCTTTCAGCCAACTTTTGACTTTTCTGGTCCTTGGCATAGAATAGCTTTTATTGTGTACACACAGAGTGCATATTCAAAACTTTTTATTCAGAAAATATTTATGTAGAATCACTATTATGTGCTATATGCCAAGTGTTTTAAAAATTCAAACTCGACTCTTCACAAGTTTGTGGAATTAATTGTGATTATTGTTTTTTTGAATACAAGTACATTGAATGAAAGACAATTAAATAGATTCTCCATGAACATGTGAAGTTATATCTCTATGCTATCTCTGAATAATTAGTCAATCCAGAAGATGAGGTCCTTTGCTAGCAGCTTATATGCATATGATCTCAATCAACTCTCTTAAAACTTAAGAAAAAATGGCTTACAAAATTTAAGAATGATGTCTAAGATTACACAATTATATGCAATTTGATTAGAATTTAAACCTATTTTGACCAAGCTCAAAGTCCAAACTCTACCCATTATGTTAATATGCCCTTCCACACCCTTCTTGTAGATGACGTGGGCAAGTGAATAAACAGAAGTTCTAAGGCATAATGTTACTCAGATCCTGCCCCTCACCTATAAGTAAAGATAGTTGACATTATCCCTATTTTACTGGTGAAGACATGAAGGAGTGTAATTAAGTAATCTGCCCAAGATCACAAGGCAGGATTTTCGGCCTTCTGGAAACTTTGCACTGACTCCTGATGTCTTGATTGGGGCCTCTCCAGAAGTTGTCATGGAACAAGTTTTGAATGTAACTAGAGGTGATCCCCAAAACCAAGATAAGAATGTGTGCAAATGAAAAAGGGAAGAGATGTAAGCCAATAAATTACCAGTAACTACCGGGGCACTGGAATTTAACACCCTTGGGGGCTTGGAGGACAATGCGAAACAATCACCTCTGTTACTGCTTAGAGCAGCTACTGGGAGATATTACCCCTCAGCTCTGCTGACCTGCTTGGCAGCTGCAGCAGCCAGAGACCAGGAGCCCTCAGACATGCAGATACTGGATGTTGGAATTCATGCAGAAATACTCCGGAATGATAAGGGAGAAAAAAGTGGCGTCAAAAGTATCTCTGAAATCTGGAATTTTGCAGGATTCTGCTGAAACTTAGGAAAAATAATAGCTATTGGATCAGGGACTGACTCTTTCAGATTCCACTTAACATTGTTTCAGCACCATGTAAATATTGTTCCTATGATAGAGAGCTTCTATAAGGTAAAGAACATATTATTGAAAATAGCGCTGCGATCAGTAATTCTAGAGTTAACGAACGTGTCCAACAACAAATCTTAAATCTTTTGCATACCTGTTCTTGCAAGTGTAAGTAAACTTTTCTTCCACACGATCCATAAATGCACTGTACACATCACGCTGTACTTTGTGTCTCTTAAGAAAGATGGTACAAAGGATGTTAAAGAGAGAAAACATGTTTGTTTGCTTTTTTAATTCCTACTTAACAATCTCTGCTATATGCCAAATGCACGTATTGTTCTGCTTGTATCTACAGGGCTACAAAGCAGCCTTATTTGTCCAGGCTAGAATTTGAGCCATAGTAAAAGTATGTTTTTCAGTATCTTTTCATGAGTGTGTGAGAGAATTTTGTCAGGTCTTTTTTCTGGAATTCACTCAAAATGGGCAGCTGCACATGAGATGGGTATAAATTTGGGGGGAATTCCTCACTATATTCAGGACTCAATCCATCATACCAATGATCTTTATAAAAAGAAAAGAAAATCTCAAACTCTAGAATGTCCATTTGAATTTTAAGGAAAAAACAGAGATACGCATGCTTTACTTTTAAAAAGTAGGGATATCTTTCATTTTCACACACTACAATAAATTAAATACTCTTGCATTAAAGCAGTCATTAACACCTGTGCTGGAGATTTTTCCAACAGCTATAGAGAAAGTCAAACTCACCGTGTATGAGGCAGATTTAATGGGCCACGGGGATTTGGGTAAAATTAGTTTTGAATCCCAGGTGCATTCACGAGGCTTGTAGGTGATAAATCTTCCAGTATTTTTTTTCTGATTATCATCTTTCAGGAATTGACACCCATGAACTAGAGACATGAAGACAAATGAGAAACTTAGCAATTATATGTGTCTTTGTTCACAGTGTCTCTCAGAATATGGTGCCAATTTTGGACATCAAGATCCAGGAATAGTAAAATGCCAGGCAATTTACAAATGCAAATCTAAACAAAATTTTGTTTATACTTTGTACTATTTCTGCTGGAATTGTTTCCTGCTTCTTCAGACTCCAGTTCAAATCTTACCTTGTTTCATTTTTCTGGAAATGTTTATAAAACTTCATCTCAAACTACACAAGGACATGATGTGATGTGAATTGTGAAATAGTTAGCATTTTACCTTATATTTTATTTGGGCATTTCTTGAAATCAGAGAGTCTGTCTTATAAAACATGATTGGCAGGCCTACCTGGTGGCGCAAGGAGTTAAGATGCAACCTATGAAGCTGTCCGCAGGCTCTGCAGCACAAGTTCGAGCCCCGGCTGGCCAAGGAGCAACACATATGGTGGGAGAGCATGCTGCTGACTCACCAGCTGCTCCCCTCAGCAATGTACTTTGGTCAATCTGCCTGTTCTGTTCCCCACTCTGTCTCTGGTGAATCCTCTCACCCCCTGTACCTCTGGCCTGTACCCCAGCTCTTGTATACATAAATAAATAAATCTTTAAAAAAAAACATGATTAGCATTTTTTTCCACAGTGACTTATGCATCATGTATTTATAAGGATCATTGAAAAGACCCATTTTAGTAACTCACTTAGACAAGGCTTGGCTAAAATGTGTACATTATTTGCAGATAAATTATCTTAATTTTACAATTTATTTGCTTCTCATTAGACCACTATTTAAACATATCCACTGCTGACATCTTATTGTTTTGTTTATAATTGATATGTAATTATAATATGCAAATACTGTGTATGCATGTACTATTCATCTCTGTCTCAATAAAGAATGCTGGACAATACCAATTAATTGTGGATAAATATTACATAAATGACACCATAGTAATAATAATGGCATGTGTGTCCTTGTGTGTATTTACTGTGTGTCAAGCAATATGTGCTTTACATACATTAGTAATTAAGTACTTTACATGTGGTATAACTGTTTTAATGCTCACAATAATTCTACAATTTAGATTCAATTATTATCATTCCCATTTGCAGATGGAGACCAAGATAAACAGTTTAGGTAACTGAGGGTAGTGAAGCCAAGATCCAAAGTTATGCCAGCTTGCTTCCAGAATCCATTACTCTTAATCACTAATTACTGGTTCTCTCTACAGAACACATTGAGTCACAAACTCAATCTTCAATGACATGTCAAATGTTAATATTCATATACTTACATATAATAATAATAAAATTAATATATATGGAATTAATAGTAAATGAATGCTATTCATTAAATGGACATTTTAAAATTTACCATTTTATCTCTAGAGAGATAAAATAAAAATACTCTTTTTTAAAAAAGATTTATTTATTTATGCATACAAGAGCTGGGGTACAGGCCAGAGGTGCGGGGGGTGAGAGGATTCACACTGGAGACAGAGTGGGGAACAGAACAGGTAGAGTAACCGCACTATCACCCCGCTGCTCCCCTCAGCAGTGTGTTTCAGTCAGTCTGCATGTTCTGTTCTCCACTCTGTCTCTGGTGGATCCTCTCACCCCTCTGCATCTCTGGTCTGTACCCCAGCTCTTGTATGCATAAATAAATAAATATTTAAATAAAAAGAGACATAATGCAGAAAGTTTCTTTTGAATATTCATAACTTTATTATAATGACTTACCTGTACTTAAGTGTTGTGACTTAAATTTTAATCCAAAAGGGTCCTTTTCATAAGTTGTCACAAAGTTTGGTAAATTATGCTGGTACTAGATATGTAAAGAGAAGATTGTGCTGTTACTTATATGTATTGTTTCTTATTGCTAGCATTGCATTTAGAATTTTATTTTTCCAAATATTAAATATTTGTATTTAGAATTTTATTTTCAAAATACTACTTTTACAAAATTTTATTTTCAGAATAGTAAATATTTTGAGGATTTTGTTATAGCATTTAACACTTGCCAATGAAAATTTGAAAGAATAATCTAAGATGCAAGATACTATATAAATAATTTATTTTATGGTGAATAGGAACACTTCAATTATACTTGTCTGAATAAATAAGAAATAGTGTTTTAGACAAGACGAAATTAAGGGAGCCTATTCAAAATATTGGAACTTAATCTTAAATGTACTTAGAGTTACATGTGATATTTCTGGAACTGATAATATTTCTAATATCTAAAATATTTTGCTGAGTCTAGAAGAGAGTAACTGTTGATTGATTTTAGTAAGCCATAAAACAAAGTAGTTTTTCTTAGATTGTTTAAATGAAACAATTTAAGTTAAAATTTTTGCACTTCCAGAAACTGATAAAAAAATCACAAATATCTGTTTGAAAACTCAGTGTGGCACTGATGATTGATCATGCATGACTGAACTTGATGACTGAATTCTCTCTTCTTGTGAGTGACTCTAGGTCCTGCCACAAGCAAATAAAATATTCTTGACTATCCTAAAGAAACTCTAATACAAGATTTTCACCTTCTAACAAAACACAAGTAGGCCAACGCACTGATAGTTTTCTCAAATTCAGTTTAGGTTTGATTTGTAACCATACTGACATCTAGTGGTTGCACAATTTATATCATACTGACTCCAATTCACCCATTTATAGAAACAAATTCAGGTAAAATTAAAAGGTCCACCAGCCCTTTAACTTTACCTACCTATGTCTTGTAATTCTAAATGTAATTAACAAATTATTTATACAAACCAATCATATTCTATATTTAACTGACCTCCCTTCATCTTCAAAATGTGACATATTTCATTCACTAGAAGTATTTAGAAGTCCTCATCAAGTAAAAAAGTTTATAGATAGCGCTTCTTGGGTTACCTAACTTCCCATTCTAATAGTCTTAAGAGTTAACATTCATTGAATCTCTCCATAGTCCAGATTCTGTTGTAAGTACTTTCATGTAATTGTCTCCATTATTTAAAACAAGCACAAAAAATAAATGGTATTGTTAGTCCATGTTATAAATTAAGAAACACAATTAGGAAAAAGAGAACAGGAATAATCTGGTCCCAAAGACCACATTCTTTTTTTTTTTTAAGATGTATTTATTTATTTATACAAGCACTGGGTACAGTCAGAAGCGCGGGAGGGTGAGAGAATTCACCAGAGCCAGAGCGGGGAGCACAACAGACAGACTGACGAAATACATTGCTGAAGGGAGCAGCAGGCGTGGCAGGAGAGGTCTGTCGCGCCATGTAGGACCATTGCTGAGGGCTGGGGATCGAACAGGTGCTGCAGAGGCTGCGGGCAGCTTCGCAGCCCAGCGCTCAACTGCTGAGCCACCAGGGGAGGCCCAAAGACCACATTCTTTATCTGCTTTCCTGTATCTTCACACCAGAATAAATTTATTGTTTTTATTCACTATTTTTCTTTGTATGATCAGTCCTACTGCTTTTCTCTTTGCCTAACTAGAGCCATATTTATGAGTTTAATTATAGTCCTATTATAGGATATATTTGTAATCTGGTTGAGTGATGTTTGACCTGATTTTCATCTCCTTAAACATATATTCACCATTTAAAACTATAAATTTAGGGCCTTCCTGGTGGTGCAAGGGGTTAAGACGCAATTTATGAAGCTAGCCTCCGTCACTGCAGCACGAGTTTGATCCCCAGACGGCCAGGGAGCTAACCCACATGGTGCAGACCTCTCCTGACTTGCCCGCCGCTCCCCTCAGCAGTGTATTTCAGTCAATCCTCCTGTTCTGTCCCCATTCTGGTGAATCATCTCACCCCCCTCAATTCTGGCCTGTACCCCAATTCTTACAAATAAATAAATAAATAAATCTTTAAAAAACTATAAATTTAATTCTTGCCCATATATTATCAATATTTAATTAGACTCATTAAAATAATATAATACTCCTCTTTATCAATTTCTACTCATTTCCATCTTTTCCATGAATTAATTTCATTGACTGCTAGATTGCAAACTCCTGTCAACTGCTGTCTATTCCTCAATCACATCTAAGTCTAAAATGTTCTTCTCATAACTCTGAAATGCCATCCCAGAGTTAGCAGATGAAATTCCATCAGAGACTAACAAGTCTTATCTCTGTCCTTTGTGATTTGTCACTGATTCTTAATTGTATTGTCTATAAGAAATAAAGATGTAGCTTTATACACATTATATACACATACATTTTTTGTTCATGTAACAGTTGTTACAATTAAGAAGTGAATAAATATATATACATTTCCCCTTATCTTTATAAGTTATTTAGAATCAAATGGCCTTTGGTACCTGTCGAAAGTCATGTGGTTTTGGATTGCAGTATACACCATTTGAATATTTTCCACTCTTCACAAACAATAGCTTTGCCTTATGTGAATCCAGGTGTGGAAATGTAGTTATAAACTTAGGAGATGCAGCATTCTTAGAATGATCGCTTATGATGGGCAGGTGAAACTTTGTTTCTGAGAAATTGCCTTTTTTCCTCCTTTGTTCCTCCTTGATGGTCCTTGATGGCCTTTTTGGAAATCTCAAAGATGTGTACAGTTTATAACTGAAGTCAGGAGGCTTTATTTCCCATATGTTGACTTTCATATTAGGTGTGACAGTTGCAGGACATTTTGTTTCCATCTGGAGTTGAGATCTTGTGCAGGATAGTATAGCCTTTTTGCAATATCACTGCTTCTCTTACCTTTCTGGGACTGAAAGCACTTTAGATGGAGGGCATTTTCACAAGTAGGAACCTGCAAAGACATAGAAGTTGGTGAAGTTTGCCACCTCACCAATAGCAATGGTGTACTGCATATTTTCTTTGCAGGCCTGGGTAATCTTTGAAAGATTTATGAAGCATAAACAAAGCTCAGAAACAATTAAGAATGTGTGTTATGGCAAATGACTGTCATGGCTGCTGCAAGCATTAATTCAGCAGCTTTGTCACTGCCTTTTGGTCAGGGCTAGGAATTAAAAAATGATGAGCTTAAAATCCACATCCTTAAGGAACTGAGAAACTACTTAGAAAAATGATGGGAACAAACACACTGTAGGGGGGAGAAATATTGGGGTGAGGCCAGAGGTTTGGGGGTGAAAGAATTCACCAGAGACTGAGTGGAGAACAGAATAGGCAGCTTTTATTGAAATACACTGCTAAGGGGAGTAGTGGGCAAGAGGGAGAAGTCATCTGCACCTTAAGGTGGATTTGAGACTCTCTTTTATACTCTGTTTTTGTGGGTTTTCTAACTTGGGCCTCCAGTTTGCAGTTATATGCTGGATGTCTGGTCTCAGGCACTGGCCTTTGACACAGAAACATTCCCTAACCTCTACTTCTGCATCCCTGGAGTTGGGCTGGTTTTTCTGGTCATGGTGGTCATTCTTAGGGCCTTGTCCCTGAGGCAACCCTATTAATTCCCTTACTTGTCTACTGGGAAGGAGTGGGAGCTTAGTTTTTTTTTATTATTATTATTAGTTTTTTTTTTTTTAAGATTTATTTTTTTATTCATTTTTACAAGCACTGGGTATAGTCAGAAGCGCGGGAGGGTGAGAGAATCCACCAGAGCCAGAGCGGGGAGCAGAACAGGCAGACTGACTAAGTACACTGCTGAGGGGAGCAGCAGGCACGGCAAGAGAGGTCTGCGCACCATGTGGAACCCTTGCCGGCAGCTGGGGATCAAACCGGAGCTGCAGAGGCTGTGGGCAGCTTCGCAGCCCAGCTTTCAACTGCTGCACCACCAGGGGAGGCCCGGGAGCTTAGTTTTTAACCTTAGTGAGTGGTACACCAACACAAACAAACAACCCTATGACTATGATAGATATTACAACTTTGTCCTGATTAGCAAGGAGAGGGATCATTTAACTATGAGGAAAATAGTAGTGATGTGGAAAGAAAAGTTATCATTTGGGTTGATCTTATAGGATAGAAATATTCGAGATGGTAGAGGAAGGAAGAGCACATCACTAAGGAACAGAAAGTATATACAATTTGTCTTAAGCTACTTTTTGCATATCTGTGGCCACCTAAGTCATCACAAATGCAATGTAGCTACTGCTATTGAGTTCTGTGGATAAGAATTGTGGAATTGCTTTTTGCTGACCAATGACAAGGAAATTGTTGGCATACTTTTAGGATGTAGTTACGTCAACATGTTGCTGGAGAATGCTGAAAGGAAATATATAACAATGCTGGTTTCTGGGCAATAATGACTCAAGGTGGGGATGAATTTTTTTGTCTAGTGCCAGAACTTTGTGCTGTTTGACAATACTAACAATATATAGGATGTCTAAAATTCTAAGTGCTATTGTACAGTAAGAGTCAAAGTGGTGGATAAAGAGAAACTACTTTGGAGAAATATTGAATATGTCAATTTGAAAGAATTACTTAACAATAAAAAGAATTGTTTTTTAAATTGTAATGACTATGGAACATTGAGAGAGAAGCAAGGAGCACAATGTGGCAGGAGCACAGCATATGTGAAACAAGGAGGCAATGGAAAGTGGTATGATATTTAAAGGTAGAAAAATCAATTGAAGTTATATTATTAAAGGTATTTTATGCCACACAAGGAATCAAGACAATGCAAAGTTTCTTGAACAAGATCACTTAAATTTTTTTTCATTTTTTCCCAGAAGATATAGAAAAGAGCATGTTGGGATTGACTGCTGATGGATGCAAGATTTCTTTGGGGGGTAATGGACATGTCCTGAAGTTAGACAGTGGTAATAGTTGCATACTATTGTGAATATAATAAAAACCACTACCTGGTGCACTTTAAATAGTAAGTTGTGAGATTTTGTTATGTGAATTTTATCTCAAACCAAATTTACCATTAAATAATACTGGTAAATTAATAAATGTTTAATAAACATAAAAAAATATTTTCTGGATGATAGATCAAGACCATAAATATTACCTGAGTTGACTTAAATATTGCAAAAAAATGGTCACTACGTAAAGGTAACCTCTAGAACGGGAGAAAATATTTGCAAACTATTTCTCTGATAAGGATTAATATCAAGAATGTATAAAGAGGGGCCTCCCTGGTGGCACAGGGGATTGAGCTCAGCACTGTGAAGTTATCCACAGCCTCTGCAGCATAAGTTCTATCCCTAGCCGGCCAGGGAGCTACCCACATGGTGAGGCAGACCTCTCCTGGCTCGCCTGTTGCTCCCCTCAGCAGTGTACTTTGGTCAATCTGCCTGTTCTGCTCCCCGCTGTCTCTGGTGAATCCTCTAACCCCTGCACCTCTGGCCTGTACCCCAGTTCTTATATGCATAAATAAATCTTTAAAAGAAAAAAAAAGAATATATAAAGAAGATCTACAACTCAATTGTTGAGAATGTAAATGTTCATTGCTGGATGAATGAATAAAGAAAACATGATATGCACACAAACCAGATGATTATTCCACCTTAGAAAAGAAGGAAATTCTGTCATTTAGGACATGGATGAAGTTGGAAGACATTACACCAAGTGAAATGAGGCAGTCACAGCAGGACAAATAATGGCATGATTCCATTTACATGAGTAACTTAAAATAAGCTCATAGAAGCAGAGAGTAGAATAGTGGTTGCCAGGGGTTGAGGGGAGCAAGAAATAGGGTGTTGCTATTCAGTGGATATAAAGTTTCAGACACAAGTCCAGTAAGTTCTAGAGATCTGCTGCACAGCACTGTGACCATAGTAATAATATTGTACTGTGCATTTAAAAATCTGAGAGGGTAGATCTCATTTAAGTACTAAGTATCTACCATTCTTGCTACTGAAGTGGAAAATGTCAGGCTGACCTGTTAATTAGTTGGGACATAGCCTGTAAACTGAAAATTTCAGGGAACAACTGATAAGTGCCCTCAAGGTCACATGCACCTTGATTCATGCATTCCCAGCTAACTATACCCCTTGTTTTAGATAACAAATATTCTGTTGCCTAATGGCTCAGGGCTCAGACTTTGGAGAGCGATCTCTTCTGGGCCCACCAGTGTAAAGTCTGACGGAGTAAATAAAGATCTTCCTTCCTCCTCTCTGAGTGATGCCTGCTTCCCTGACAGAATTTTGCCATAACACTACAACAAAAAAATCTGAATAGAGGGGCCTCCCTGGTGGTGCAAGGGGTTAAGCACCCCACTGTGAAGCAATCCACAGCCTCTGCAGCACGAGCTCCATCCCCAGCTGGCCAGGGAGAAACACGCATGCGCAGCAGACCTCTCCTGTCTCGCCCAATGCTCCACTCAGCAATGTGTTTCAGTTAGTCTTCCTGTTCTGTTCCCCACTCTGTCTCTGGTGGATCCTCTCACCCCCCACGCCTCTGGCCTGTACCCAGCTCTTGTATGCATAAATAAATAAATCTTTAAAAAAAAATCTGAAGAGTTGAAAAAGTGTTACTTAATATTTGAGTGAGAAAATTAAAAAGTGTTTAAGATATGTTATCCTCTGCTGCTAAATAATGCATTAAAGCAAATCAGATTTGATTTATATGGAGCCACTTGCAATCTCTAATAAATTATTTGCAAATAAATTAAATTTAATCATTAAGATGTAAGCCTAATTAACAAAGTATGTAGAAATAAAGATGTGGGTTTACTATTCTTGGAGCCATGCTGAAAATACAATGTGAAAGTTAAATAAAAGTATCTTAATTTCATATTCTATATTTACTGTAAAAAATAGGAATGACTGCAAGGAATTTTAAGGGTTAGTAAGTAAAAGACATTCTAAAATAAAGGGAGGACTGAGAGGCTAGAAGCTTGAAGGCTGGCAGTACCTTTCTGGGATTCTTCCATGGAAAAGCATATCCTTATTCATATTTGATATTTTCATTTTTCTTATATTGATCTATACTTGGGGTTTGATGCATGACTTCTCATAACTTGAGGCAAGCACATAATTAATTCTCTTTGTTTTGATTTTATTTTCACAGAATAACCCTCACGATAATTAGAGTTCACATGTACAATAATCTATCGAGAGATAATGAGCTAGAAGAAAATATGATAATTTGGCTTATATTTCAAGTAAATTAATAAATTTGTTTGTTTGGGGCCTTCCTGGTGGCACAGGCGGTTGAGCGCCACACCGTGAAGCTGTCCACAGCCTCTGCAGTGCTGGTTCAATCCCTGCCGGCCTCGGAGCAACCCACATGGTGAGCAGACCTCTCCTGTCTTGCCCACTGCTTCCCTCAGCAGTGTATTTCGTCAGTCTGCCTGTTCTGTTCCCCCGCTCTGTCTCTGGTGAATCCTCTCACCCTCCCGCGCATCTGGCCTGTGCCCCGGTTCTTGTATAAATAAAATAAATCTATAAAAAAAAAATTTGCCTGTTTGATTTTCACTTTGGACTCTTTGATCCCAGTTGTTATAAATTCAACTCTGAGTCACCCAACACACTAGGAGTTTATGAAAATCAAGTCCTTGACAATCAGTGGTTAATTTGTTCCAGATACAAGCCCTCTTTCATAACACCCTTGCCTCACCCATGACCCTATACATTTTTTTTTGTTTGCCTGGTTCAATTTTGTTGGTTCCTTTGTTTTATTTCTCTATATTCCATGTATAACATGGATGTCCACGTATAACATGGAATATAGTTTCCATGTATGACATGCAATATAGTAAAATCATGACATG